GGAACGTATTATGTATATATGTTTATGTACTAAAATATAATCTATTATAGAGTATATATATTATAATAACTTTTGTAATATCGGATCTAGTGTGATCGGTTACTAGATAGTTAGGATTAGTAACTAGTCAAACTCTGTTACTTGCAATATTCTCTATATATATTCATGTAATCAACCATAAATAATGGGGGTTCTATTCTATCTTCCTATATGGTATTAGAGCACCAGGTTTTTAACCTAGCCGCCCTTTCTTCTTCATGGCGGTGACCACCCAATTTTCTCCCTCCCCTGTGGCGGTACTCTTAATATCTTTCTTTTTCTATCTTTTCTTCTTTCTTTCTATACCTAGCCGCCCTTTCTTCTCCATGGCGGTGACCACCCAATTTTCTCCCTCCCCCGGTGGTGGTATTCTTAATATCTTTCTTTTCTTCTTTCTTTTCTTCTTTCTTTCTATGAACACCACCCGATTTTTCTTCTCCCTCCCCCGGTGGTGCATCTTCTCTATCTCTTCTTTTCCTACTTCTTCTCCATGGCCTATGGCCTAAAACCTTGCTGCTGCCTCTCTTCTTCTCCATGGCCGGCGACCACCACCCCAATTTCTTCCCTCCCCTCGGTGGTGGTAACTTATTTTTTTTTTCCTTCCTTCCGACATTTTCTTCTTCTTAGTCGGTCTTCCCCCTCTCATATCTTCTCTCTCTCGACAAAAAAAAAAAAAAAAAAAAAAAAAAAAGACTCTCCATGTTATTTTCTTCGTTCTATTAATTTGGCAGGTATTTTCACCAATGATTTCACTACTGCTGGATTTCGTGGGTTTTCTGTCCAGTCTTCACTTTTTGAGTTTATTCGTTCTGACTGCGGGAGCGTGCTAGCAAGTGATTGTCCAGTCTTCACGTTCGTCACGTTTCGACTGCGGGGGCGTATTAGAGTATATTATATTATAATAACTCTTGTAATATTCGGATTCTAGTATGATTCGGTTACCTAGATTAGTTAGGATTTAGTAACCTAGTCAAACTCTGTTACCTTGCAATATTTCTCTATATATATTTCATGTAATCAACCCATAACATAATGGGGGTTTCTATTCTATTCTTCCTATATTATCAATTGAGGTTTTGTTTCATTTGCTTTCTTGTAAGATTCAAGTGTGTTGCAACTTATCTATCTGCATGATGTACAACTCTTCTATGTGCAGTTAAACAAATATTTATTAGTTAATACACAAGATTGTGCTGCAATCAATAGACAAGACAAAATACAAAGAGTGATGTTAACCCCAAACCAGTAGCAGGAATTTTATATTTACCAACTGAAAATTGATTGATGTAAGCTTAATTCAATATGACCAGCTCAAGACTTGGTCCTAGCTCAAACTCAATTAGCTAGATCTCATTATTTTCGTCTTGCATTTGTACAATGTTTTACTAAAGTTCTTTAGAATAGATGTAGAGATTCTAAGGTATTCTTACAACACTTATAAAATATTTTTTGGAGTGCATAAGTTTTCTAGAAATTTGGTTGTATATAATCTTACGATATTAAAACAATCTTGACCGTCGTAATGATCAACAACTTGCACTCGCATGTGATCTCTACTATTTATAGCAAAACATGTTCTTTGGTGGTCAAGTGAATCACGACATGGTATTTCTCGGCAGTTCATGTGATTCATGGTTTAGTGTCTGCAAACATAAAAAATATACATTTACCATAGAAACAGAACATGATACGGAATTATATCAGAATATTCAAGGGTTAGTTGTGTTAGTTAGGATTATGTTATTTTTATAAAAAATATTATGAGGATCCAAATATCTCTTTTTTAGTTCCATTTATAGTTACCATTTTTTATTAGTTTAGTCTGTTGTTGAGTGTAGATTTTACACTTAAATTACTCTCTTACAATGTTTTTTGTCAGATTTTATTAATTTTATGGTATTCAATGACTTATTCTATGTATTTTACCTGTAAATTGAGAATAAATTTGATATTTGGACGACAAATTGGTCGAAGAGGGATAAAAAAGCGGTTTACTAAGTAGATATGTGGTCAATTTGGCACGTGTTATCATAGGAATATAGTTAACATCTTATGTAAACATAATTGAGATTTATGCTTAATGTTTTGTTCTTGATTGAATTGCATAGGAATATAGTAATTTAGTCTTAATAATAGATTCGTAATACACACGATACGATTAACTTAACATCTCATGTTAGTAATTCGAGTTAATAACTTCATAATTGAAGAAAATTGAGGAATCAATAATCACATAGGAAGAATTAATATCCTAGGCTTGTTTAAATTTGATAATCTGAACTTGAACATAGTTGCGAGAATCTAGCGCTTATCATTAGATAGTTATTTATTCCTTGTGGGATTGATACTTGGACTTATCCACTATATTACTTGTTTGATACGTGTACTTGCGTGTATGTATTACAACCAACATCTGTCTATCCATATAGGAGTTTTTCCTATTTTTTTGTTGCAGTTAATGCATCTTTTTACATTGTTTCTCTCTCATCTCTCTCAATGTTCCTCAAGATCCTTTTCATGGAGTTATTCTGATCTACCAACATCAGCATTGTGAGACTGACATCTTAAGAAACATGAGCAAAATCGTGATCTTATTGTCTCAACAAAATTATCTGGAGAATTGCTAAGTATCGAATGAGTTATTCTGAACATATTTCCACACCTGTAGCAGCTCACTTAAAATTGAGTTCAACTTAAAAAATTTCTGCGATAGCCAAAGTGCTTTACACCTCGTGAAAAGTCCAACATTTCTTGAAATATCTAAGCATATAGATACCAAAATTCATTTCATAAGGGTTGTTATTGTTGGTGGGAAAATTGAGGTCAAGAAGATTGGAAGTCGAGCTGAGCTTGTTAGAATTTTATTATACATACATACAAATTCTCAAGAACCAACATGTTTGAATCAACGAGAATTATATAGAAACATAAACACGGAAGCATAATTTACATCATGAAATCGAATCTTCGAATTTGCATTGGATTTGGGACAAGTCTTCTAAAGAATCCGCAATTCCTTAATTATCTCTCTAACAATGGATTTTAGAAGAGACCGAATGATTGCGTTTCTTTGGGGACCACGACCATTTATATAATAGTAGAGTCCAGTTATATTATAACTGTGATTCAACCCCATCAATAAATCACAATTAAAACTTAATGGTCTCTACACATTAGGCCCATAATTATAGTCTAATACCCATAAGTCCAACTCAATAATCGTTATTAAATCACAATTAATTTGGACTTTCTTTTAGATAGCTATACACATTTACATCACATAGGTGAGCCCACATAATTATTGAAATAATTCCAACAATCTCCCACTTGGGCCACATATGCTATATACCTTATAAATGTGTACACCTTATGAGCTCAAATATTGCTATCATATAAAAAGGGTATTCCTTACAATCTCGTCCATTGACCATATTAATATAGGACTAAAGAGGCTTTCGCCACGTTGACCGTGTCTAAACTCAAGTAATCACGTATACCAATATAAATGACATAGATCAAATTATGGTATGTAGCATGAAAATTACATATAATGTGATTTTAACATGCTTATTTCCAACATGTCCTACTCTAAACTTTATTGAGATCAAACCCTAACATAATTGTACAAAGCGCAACCAAATACTTTATTTTTGCGGAAAAATGAATACACAAATTTGTGTCCAAACATTTCATAGAGCTAACAAAATGTGTTTATATATACACATACATACAAACTCCCACTGAACCATAATATCCTTAAATGATATAACACCTACATGAGCAATGCTCATGAAATACCTTATGTGTTAATCAGTTAGTATACGGATCCGCAATTGTGGAGTTTGTCTTAATATGCTCTATGTACTGTTTACTTTGTACCTTTTAACAATAAAGAACGTTTACAAGCTCTTGTTGTTGTTCGAATGTATAACTGTTAAGTATTGTCACCGCATAACTTCAATACAAATTCAAATGTGCAGCCTAGTGACAAAAGTTTATATTCCAAAATAAGATGCCAAAAATTACCATAAATTCTTAACCATCGTGAAAAGAGCTTAAAGTGTTTGCTTAACATCCATAACGAAACAACTCAATCACTAAGGTCTACATTAAACAAAATGGATCTATATTTTAAACACATCATAAAACTCAAAATCAGAAATAAACCACACGATCTTCCAAAATATATGATTTCGGTAAATGAGCATATATATAACTTATATTCCCTATAATTACTGTATAACCCATTTGGCTGGTTTGCTAAATGATCCACTTTATAGGGTTATTCAAATATTTGCCCAACTTCATGCACACCATAACCAAATGCTTACATTCTTTTACTTTAAAATATTTATTGGGCATTGAAATGAGGCTAAACAAGTCTCCTTTGTTGTGAGATTATCTCCCACT